TATATATATATATATATATATATATATATATATATATATATATATATATATGACCACAGTTGTTATCATCAATAATTGTTTTCATCCTAACTGTAAATTATTACTCACACGTAATTCTTTTCTGATAGCATGAATAATTTCCATATAAGCATAATATTTTTTTAGATAAGCTATGCAGTCCTCTTCGTTATGATTTCATTGTCTAGTAGTACGTCGTTTGATGAAGCTAAAGCGATACAAGACACTCTCGAGACCATTTTGGACTCACTCAAAGCCGAAAACACAACATTGGTATGCTAAAGAGACGCTTTTTCAAGGGCATATTAAACTACTCACACAGTATTTTTGTTCCTGTATGTGCTCATAATCTTCCATTATGAGCATCTTCATAACTGTGGTAAAATTGGTGTCTTCAGGAGAAGAAGCCATTCTCAGCACAGGTGATCAAGTCATTCAATAATGTTCTCATATTTCTCGTGCCTCACTTCAACATCAAAAACACATCCTTCAAGAAGCAACGCACTAAGTATCTTTCAAGTTGGCGTTCAACGAGATGCAAAAAAGGTACCTATTAATCAATTAATATTTAATCGATCGCACAGTTCAAATACCAGAAAATACCAATAATTAGAATTCAAATTGAAAATAATCCAAACCCACATCAATTTTGTAATAACACCATAGCATGCAGTACTTCACAATTAAGTGAAAACCACTAACGAGGAAAGGTCATGTACTTAATCTGACATTTCGTGATGAAATATAAGTTATATTGTAGAGCTCCTCAAGCTGATCATGAATATGTAAATGATTTTTGCGAAACACAAAGGGGAAACGAGATATGACGTGGAAAAAGTTTTCAGTATATTGAAGTTACGTTTTCAATTTCAGTTTCGCAGTGGCGGCGTCGCCTGGCGGGTAATGCGCTAGCACCAGGTCCGCTTGCATGTTGGTTTGTTCCGCATGCTGGCGAGGTTTTTTTCTTATGCATCTGTAGCACATTCAAGCAACCACCATATTTTATAGCCCTCCCCACAACTTTTTTCTTTGGCTGTGGGAACATTTTTTCATTTTTTTAAATTTGAAGATTTCTTTTGATTGTCTTTATCTGATCATAATGACTAAGCCTATTCACAACAGAATAATCGAAAAGTAAATCTGATTTACATAAGAACATTTCACAGATGAAAAACTGAACACAATTGTTTATATCACAGTCGCATTCTTATTCTCGAATGGTTTTCAGTCAATTTTGTAGTCCAATATTTCGAAAATTTAATAAATACTCCTGGTACGCATGCGGATATATTTAACAGCATCCAGAAGGCTTTGAAACACCGGTCCAAATGCGCTTCCCACAGTACGTTACTCAAGACTGTGATACAAATAATTGTGATCAGCTATCAGTTGTAAAATATTCTTATTGTAAATTTTTGCTTCAATCATTTTGTTGTGAATAGACATGGGCATTACAATCAGATATTAAAAAACAGAAAAAAATTCCAAAATTAAGAAAAACAAAGAGCAAATTAAAAAACATAAAATATTCCCACAACCGAAGAAAAAAGTTGTGGGGAGCGATAGGAAATATCGTGGTTGCTTGAATATGCTACAGATGCATAATTAAAAAAANAAAAAAACCTGAATGCCGGCATGCAGAACCCAACCATTATGCAACCAGACTTGGTGCTAGCGCACCACCCGCTAGGTCACGCCGCCATTGCTCTACAATATGATGTATATTTCTCACGAAACGTTAGATTAATTTCGTGACCTTTCCTTGTAAATAAAACAGAACAGTTTGCATAGAATGTTAGATGAGATGAGTTTACCGTATAATCAGTCAACCGAAGTAAGATCTGATAAGCAAATCAACTCAATTCAACTGATTTTAAAAGCATTTCTCTTCCCACATATCCCAGCTTTCGAACATGTCACAAATTGACGTTTTTCATTTGGATTTGATCACGCTGAACACTTGAATATCTACATATAAACACTTGAATATATTAGTTTTCGCATATCCCTGCTACGAAAAAACACGAATGCAATTTTAATATGAATTATTTTGTCATTATGAAAACATTCTTGTTCTTTTTCTTCTTCTCAAACGTTACTTCATGCTGTGTTTTCAGTTCATGAGTCATGGCGTGTTTGTGAACAAAGTTTGAGAAATTTGCGAGCCAAGTCGTCGAAACAACAAACAACTGGAAGTTACCTGAAACATAACCTTCGCAACAACAACACAAAAAAGCAGGCTAAAAAAATTGAGAAAATGCCTTCAGGAAAAATTTACAGTTAATATGTTGTGGATAAATCATCTGACATACACTCGCAAGCAATCACACACAATATTTATATGCACATATGATTATCACGTATTCCTTACGTTTTATTTCGTGCAAAACGCAAACACAATTCTTATCGATGACGTTCGTTCCATTATGCGTCTTAACCTTACCTGCTTAAATATTCTGAACAACTTAAATTTTTCTTCCCATCACAACAATCAAGCTCTAGATGCTTGCTTACAATTGTTTTCACTGTTCATTTTTGTTTATTTCTTCATCCGATTTACTTCAATATTCACATTTTATGAATGATCATCACTCGATTTGTCATCACATTCGTAATGTTTATTTGAAGAAGAATCACATTTATATGTATAAATATGAATACGATCACTGACCAATGGCCTACTTTATTAATCAAGTGATCATTTTGTGTATCTTATCAAACAACTGATTAATCAAACAACTGATTTTATCAAACTATTTTCACCATCATTCATTCAGACTGATACTCATACAGATAATCTTGTTGCTGTCGCTTAAGTTTCTGTTTTAGCTGATCATTGATGCTTATGCTGTTGCTGCCATCTGCAGAGCATCTATCCTGAAAAGCTGTGCATTCATCAATTAATTGCACTGCATGTTCCATTATCTCGTTCGTCAGTGCCCATTGTTTCTGTGAACATTCCCAGCTCGCATGATCATCTAATAATCGTGCCAATGAGTTCGCTGAACTCTCTGAAATTCGATTTTTATATTTTCAACTTAAGCCCAGAGAAGAGCACACAGCTTTTGAAAACTTCTTCGCAAAGGTCTCAAGTACTCAGAACGTCGTACAAGTCCTAAAAGCTTAAATTTTGGTGCATCAATTACAATACTAAGAACAGTTATAACAATTATAGTCATGACAGTTAAGATATTAATAGGAATTCGATAAAAGAAAAACGACAGTATTTTAACAAACCAATTGATCGTTTGCCAGGACGTAGAGAGAATCTTCCGAGAGCGATAGAGCGTTTACCACTCGGGCGAAGTGATGAACGTCCGATAGCGATATTTGCCTCACAAAATGACATCAAAAGTAGCCAAGAAAAGACCGCGCAAAGCCAAATACCATTAGTGTTATTCATATAAGTTTTGTTCATTTTACTAATACAATAACGCATCCTTTTCGTCTCGTCTCCCTTTCACCTCAACGAACAAAAAAATTAACGTCCAAATTATCATCAGCATCTACCATGATTATCGTATCGTTGCTCGCTTATGCGTTCCACATTCATTTCCACTCATATAATGGCTCAAATGATGATCATCACAAACAATGGTTACATAATTGAAAATTAACAAACTAACAACCAAACTGATTCATTCATTCAGAAGGATTAACAGAAGTGTAATGAATGAGCAATGATTCAAAGCGATTGGGATTAAAGCGAAATTTCTCGCTTAGATTGAAAACATTTCGACCATTGAAAGCACTGCTTGTTGTTCACAACTATCAGTTAAGAAGACAACTACAAGACTACATCAATCACTTGCTATGGAACGATGATTAAATGAAAAAAGTAATCTTCAATTAATTCGTTTGAAAGATTAAAAAATGTGATAAAAGATTCCATTGATGGCACGAATGAATCCATTCAAATTACTCGATGGTAGATCATTCTGATTCTGATTCTTTTGCTAAGCGGGCGGTTGTGTTGGCTGTAGATCATGATGCATAGTTGATCAACGACAAATCTCTGAAATTTATTTATAAAGACATATTCAAATTCCCTCTACTTTTGACTTTTTCGAAAAACTTTGTAAATGATAGGATAGGACAATAGATTAAATGAAAACTTATTTGAGCATTCATTCATAGTCAACTGATTTTAAGAAGTATCTTCCGAAAATTAGCTCATTCAATGACGAAAGAAACACAAAATTTTTGAACTATCAGGTAGTTTGCAAACGTGAATGCAGCACAACGCCGCACAGCTACCTATGTGGATTCCAACTGATTATCGCTTGCTTTTGAAGCTTCCTCTCGCAGATCTACACCCTGTTTTTGTGACAAGAAAGTGCCATTTTCAGGCTTCGACTCCTTCAAAGTCCCCTTTCAATTTATTTTCAATATTCGTCATCATCACGATATGTCAATTTCATGTGTACATTCGTTTCATCGTTACACTTCGTTAATCAACTCAACTAAAATACCAACCTCAAATAACTGTGAAATGATTTGGATATAAGTAACTGTGACTGACAGAGTCCAATCGTCTTCACGAGGATCCTTCTCGCTTTTAAATGATATTAAACGAAAATAGCATCATCAGCTCAACTTTACTCTACTTAAAATTACGATGATTAATGACAATTATAGTAATAGCAATAATAATAATAATAACAATAATAATAATAATAATAATAATAAT